AAAACCCACAAGGTTTGACAGGCTACCCTACTCTTTGTCCTGTACAATCGGGGAATCAAAATCACGCTAGTTAACTCAATGACAAACCTTAGGATACAGTGCGCACACGCTAACCATTCGGCGGCCACCCCATGCCCCCGCCGTCATGCTAGTTAGCTACAGCAGCACTATATGCTTCGGGATAACCAGAATAAACTGGCATAAGACCTGTATTTATTTCCCCCTGAATTAGTCACCACGGCCAACTCTTTTTATATGTTTGTGTTTCCTGATAAAAACTAGCTTGTCAAGAATGGTTAATTATATCTCAGATTTAACATATATTATTTATATTAAATATACATTATGCAAGAGCTAAATCTACCTTTTGCAGGTCTTTCTTTAGGCCTGAAATGTTATCAAAATTATTAATTAGACATTAATTAACTTATCCAGACCATAATCAACTCGCAATGCTATCAGATGCCTGTGATATTTAGTGGATTAAAATATGTTTTGTGGTGGATAACAATACAATATCCACAATACAATATCCACCACAAAACATATTTTAATCCACTACCATAACAATGGTAGTAATGACAATATAAACCTGCTAATATCTAGGCTTAGAGTGAAGTAATTTGACTGACAGTTTCAACATGTTCCCTTTTCATTATCTATTTTATAACTATTATACCGAGAACTGTCAGCTCTTTATCTAATCTTACATAATGTATCTTTAAACTATAAAATTCAAAGGCTAATATCTCGGTTCATAGTGGAGCAATTGACTCAAAATTTCAGCATACTCCCACTACATTATCTATTTTTTAACTATTATAGCGAAAACTGTATCGAATGTTACATAATATATCTTTAATAGTTTTATATTAATTGGGGAATTGGATGGTCGAATGGTTAACGCGTACGCGTTGTGTCATAAGGTCTGTCGTTGAGTAAACTGGTGTGGTTTCGATTTCCGGGTTGTAGGTGACAAGGAGTAGGGTCTCCTGTCCAACCTCGTGTGTTTTCTCTGGATCCCTATGTGCAAGGGAATTATTGAAATAGAATTAAACCATGTGTTAGTCCCAAAATGACCTAGTTTGTGGCAAGTGGACATTAAAGCTCATCTCTCTCTTTCTGGGGGGTTGGATGGCCGAATGGTTAGCGTGCGGCGTTGTATCATAAAGTCTGTCATTGAGTTGACTGCCGTGGTTTCGAATCCCCGGTTGTACGTGGCAAGGAATAGGGTCGCCTGTCCAACCTCGTGGGTTTTCTCCGGGTCCTCTGGTTTCCTCCCACTGCTAAAGACCCCTACGCGCAAGCGAATTATGTAAATACAATTAAACCATATGTTAGTCCCGAAATGACCTAGTTTGTGTCGAGTGGACGTTAAACCCCATTTCTCTCTCTCTCTCTCTCTCTCTCTCTCTCTCTCTCTCTCCCTCTCTCATCTTACATAACAATCTGTAATAGTGTTATATTAATTGGGGTGTTGGATGGCTGAATGGTTTGCGGTGTGTGTTGTATCATAAGGTCTGTCATTGCGTCAACTGGTGTGGTTTCTCTCGCTATTAATTATTTATCATGTGTATAATGTCACTGTCTCTCGAGATGATATTAGCTGTATTACGATTTGTTTTTCTAGGGCACAATGTAAATAGAAGTGAATTAGGAAAATGATATTTCTGTGTATTTTATGTATTGATGAATATCTCTCAATTGATTGCGAAGAGTTGTTTTCATGCAATTCAGTTTTTTAGCATGGTATCTTGTTTCTGATCTGTAGCACTAGAAAGTGATTCTGGAATAATTTTTATCACTGATGGGGTATGAAATAACTATGTGGATGAGGCCGATTGTGGTACTAGATAAATTGTGAATGCGATTTATGAGAGTTTTAAACATACATTATACAAGAGCTAAATCTGCCAATTGCAGACCCTGAGTTCACAAAGCATTCCCAGACTTAAGTTAAGAATTTACTCTACTTTCAATCAGTTTATGAGAAATTTCTTTGATTCAGAAACACAAAACTTTACATATAGTTTCTTATTGATGTATTTGATACATTAAAACAACAAAAGTTTGATAAAGAGTTATATTCTAGTTAAAATAAGGCAAACAGTTTTGAGTAAATTCTTAACTTAAGTCTGAGAATGCTTGGTGAGCTCGGGACTAGGTCTTTCTTTAGGGATGAAATGTTATCTAAATTATTAATTAGACATTAATTAAATTATCCAGACCATAATCAACTTTCGATGGCATCGCTGGCCAGCGATATTGACTGGATTAGAACCCGGTCTGCTGCTTCTGATTAAATCAAAAAATGGATAATCGAGACTATGTTTTTTATCGTACCGACTTTAGTAATGATGACCGAGGCTAGGCCCAAAATTTAATCGGGGGGGTTGGATGGCCGAATGGTTAGCACTTGCGTGCTGTATCATAAGGCCTGTCATTGAGTCAACTGGCGTGGTTTTGAATCCCCGGTTGTACGTGACAAACAGTAGGGTAGCCTGTCCAGCCTCGTGGGTTTTCTCCGGGTCCTCCGGTTTCCTTCCACTGCTAAAGACCCCTACACGCAAGCAAATTATTGAAATAAAAATTAAACCATATGTTAGTCCCGAAATGACCTAGTTTGTGTCGAGTGGAGGTTAAAACCCATCTCTCTCTCTCTCTCTCCAAAATTTAATCGCTAAACACTTGATTAGGAGTGGATAAATTTGACAGAAATTTTCAGCAAATTGCCTTTACATTATCTAGTTGTTGACTATATTATTGAGAACTACCAACTCTTTATCTAATCTCCCACAATGTATCTTTAATAAGGGTTGCAGGACATGCACTCTTGCATGCATATATTTATTTAATCGAGTGTCCGTGGTACTCAACTACATTATTCTTGCTTTGAGAAGTACTATCAGTTGTCATGGTGGTTATTGTGAGGCTGACACAAAATCTAAGGTCCATCTGCAAATCCCACACCACTTTAAAAGGGAGAGAGGGACACTCGACAAATACACTTGACAGGCAACCATACTCCTTGTCATGTACAAGCGGGGAATTGAAATCAATGACACACACACACCCCCACAACCAGGGGCTGCGCCAGCCGTCGGTGATTGGAGGGGCAAAGTCCAAAGTTAAAGGGGCAAAGGCACGAGCTTCAACTAGGGGTAGGGGGTTGAAAAACAGGTTGCCGGAAATGCAGTCTGGCAGTATTTTAGGCACTGATCGATGAATTAAAGTGTCAAACGAATGGACTTGCAAATCACTCCCAAGCGTCAAAGTAGGGAGTCCTCCCTCCGAAAATTTTGAAAAATAGACTGCCGGAAATGCTGTCTTACAGTATTCTGTCAGGCACCGATCGCCGAAATAAATTGATCTGCCCAGATACCGTTCGTCGCCTGATCACTAGTTTATCCGACTAGAGAACAAAATGTCAAACGAACGGACTTGCGACCCTCAACGAATTCCCCTTGTGAGCGCCAAAGTAGTGAGTCCATTGGGGACCTCGCCAAGAAAATTTTGAAACATAGACTGTCGGAAATGCTCTACAACATGCAAGTTTATGACTGAGTGGGGATGTGGGATTTATTCACCGTAGAAGGTATTGATTACCGAAACGTATCACAAATACGCCGCCACTGCCCACAACTAAACAACTTGAAGAGAAAAATATATAGATACATATTATTGGGAGATAAACATCATTGATTAAATTTATTGAACTACTGTACACTTGTATTTTGTTAAACAGACATTATGCAAGAGCAAAATCTGCCTATTGCAGGTTTTCTCTGATATTAAATAGATTAGAGCAGTTCAGCCATACTTTGATTTGAGCTAAAAATGGAGGAGTGAGACTTAGCTTCAAACAACCAGTACGGTGGTTGAAATTATTGCACATGTCTTGTCAAACCTTCAAAGGCTAATATCTTTGCTCGCAATAAAGTAATTTGAATGAAATTTTCAAATTATTCATTTTACTTTATCTATTTTTGAACTGTTATAGCAAGAATGGCTAGCTCTTTATCTAAATCTTACATAATGTATCTTTAAATAAGTTTAAAAAATTTTCACTGAAATCTCTCATATAGAGATATCCTTTAGAATTGTACATCTCCACCATCACTACTTTATTGTCAACTATTGTTTCGTACAAATCTATATACTATATAGGGGTCACAATGGCTAAGTGGGTAAGACGCTGGCTCGCTGGCCTGGAGGTCGGGTGTTCGATCCCGGCATTGGCCGAGAAAGTTCATCCCGATTTTCCGGCGTGGTTTCCCCTTGTCAGTGATGCAGGACAGAGGGCCTGACAAGGACAGCTGTCTAGTCGTTCGGATGGGATGAAAAACCGAGGCCTCGTGTACACATTGGAGTGCACGTAAAAGATCCTTTGGCAGTTAAAAGTTTTCATTAGCCCAGTTTAGGAGCAGAACAGTAGGACGTTAAACCTCATTTCATTTTTTAAATACTATATATGTATTTGGTAATAAACAAATACAATGACATTGATGTGTGCATAAGAGAACCCTTGACAGTTGTAAATCTAAGAAGATTTGTAAAAGCCAACTTCCCGTACCGCATATTGCACACCAAGCCATACCAATAAAATTTACTAAATGTTTGTCTCCAAATGACCGATGTATTGATTTTAGGATATATTGAACCACTCAATCGACATACGGATTCTTATTCAAGGAATTTTAAAAATGAAATGTCTTAATATCGTACTTTTCAACACCAGCAACAGAGCTAATGAAGGAGGTCATACATACGCCATGCATGCAATCTGTTCAAAATTTGGTTTTACTTGTCTTTACCACACTATGATCTGGAAGAGTTGTTATATAACCCGCTTTCTGCATGATGTGAGGGATTAGCCAATATGGTCAGATGGTTTGGTGCGAGATACAATTCAAGCTGCTTCATTCTGGATTTTCTGTAGCTGGAAGAGAATACAATAGCTTTTACTACTAATGAATGTTATATAAATTGATATTTTTCAGGTGTGCCAACAAATAAATTATGCAAGAAATCTGTTCGATGATGAGACACACACTCTGATACAAACAGAATTAAAGGATAACAGTTGTTGATACAGACAGAATTAAAGGATAACAGTTGTTGAACACGACCTGGTGCCTTATCAAGGAAATTATAACAAAATACTTTTATCATAATTATTACATTTTTCATTTTAACCAAAATTTGTTATTGTGCATACAATTGGTTATTGTGCATACAATTGGTTATTGTGCATACAATTGGTTATTGTGGGCACAGTTGGTTATTGTGAGTGCAATTAGTTATTGTGAATACAATTGGTTATTGTGGGCACAATTGGTTATTGTGAGTGCAATTAGTTATTGTGAATACAATTGGTTATTGTGGGCACAATTGGTTATTGTGAGTGCAATTGGTTATTGTGGGCACAATTGGTTATTGTGAGTGCAATTAGTTATTGTGAATACAATTGGTTATTGTGGGCACAGTTGGTTATTGTGAGTGCAATTGTTTATTGTGAATACAATTAGTTATTGTGAATACAATTGGTTATTATGAGCACAGTTGGTTATTGTGAATACATATTGATTTTATGTGCATTAGGGATCACTTATAATGTTCACGGAACTCTAGAGGTTCATCTGCATTGTAATGTAGGGGAAGAATTGTAATACATTATTCACTAGGTCAGCATGTTCTTTGTAACCTGTGGGAATTACGAACCAATCATGTTATTTGGAACTGTATTATTACATGTAGCAGAGATCAAACAGGGAAATTATAATCTGATGTATAGAACACATGGTTGTATAAGATACAGGGTAAAGGGTGTTATAGTGAAAAATTGTTAAAGATACATCCTTCTTGAGGTAGCACGAAGTCAGGCTCCCTGTAAAACGTAGGTGTCTTGTTTATCTATATGTGCAGATATCATTTCAGGCTGATAAATATATATATATATATATATATATATATATATATATATATATATATATATATATATACAGTCGCCATCGTATAGGTCAAGCAAAATTAAAATATTAGTGCAGGAAAATTGAAATGGTTTTATTAAACATTCTATTACATTATGCAAGAGCTAAATCTGCCTATTACAGGTCTTTCTTTAGACCAGAAATGTTATCTAAATTATTAATTAGCTTATCCAGACCATAATAAACTCTTGATGGCATCACTAGTCAGCGATATTTAGTGGATTCGAATACATTCTATGAAAAATAATTAAACGTAAAAACGGATAATCAAGGCTAGCCAAAAATTCAAAAGCTAATATATTTTCAGCATATTCTATTTACGTTATCTATTTTTTAACTATTATAGCGAGAACTGTCAACTCTTTATTTAATCTTCCATAATGACCCTTTAATTATCATTATGCTGACCTTCTATGCTTGTAAATTATGTATAATAAGTGAAGATTTCATCTACATGCAGTAGTAGTTTTATATGTAAAGTATATTACAGTGGGAACAAAGTCAAAACTTGTAATTAATGTTTTGTTGAAAATTAACCCTTTTATTATTAAGGACTGGACACATATCTAATTCTATTATTAGAATAGCTGGTATCCATAGTGATCAGTAAACTGGTGACCATAGTGACCAGTAAGCTGGTGACCATAGTGACCAATAAGCTGGTGATCATAGTGATCAGTAAGCTGGTGACCATAGTGACCAGTTAGCTGGTGATCATAGTGATCAGTAAACTGGTAACAATAGTGATCAGTAATCTGGAGACAATAGTGATCAGTAAACTGATGACCACAGTGACCAGTAACAGAAGGGTAAAGTTCATCTAAATCTATTATATACGTTTGGACTGTGTGTGTTATTTCATTATACATGTATTTGTTGTTTTAGGAGAATGAAATAATAGCAATTAAATTAATTGTCATATATAGTTTTGTACATGCATTGAATTGAATTAATTTTCTTGTTATTGTAAAACTATTTTGCTACAAACAGGGTAGTTGGCCATGCCCTGGGCACAATATAATCTGGCACCAGTGCTGATTGCAATGTATAGAAATTTAGAAAGATTATTATATATTCCTGTTCACATTTGTAAATATTTCATTAATTAACATTAATTGTCATTAATTCATTATAATTATAGTAAAGGAATGGATTTAAATATATTAGAATTTATTAAACAGATTAAATAAGGGTCTTTCAATATTTGAGGGATTTTGAATCCCATGCAATGCTAGGTTCCCACTATCACGATTCGTGCTACGACTGACATCGTGGAGTAATTGTGTGATTATATCAGGTCTTATCATATATTGAGGTCAGTTGTAGCAATCGTGTTGACCGTATCCGAACGTATCTGGGACAATCCTATCGCATCACATGACAGTGGGAAAATGGCATAAAAACAAGTATTGTAGAAAATGGAATCTGTAAAAGGAATAATAATCGAACAATGATGCAATTCCATTTAGTTGCAATCTGATTAAAACACAGATCCTATTTCGTTTCGTGTTTTATAGTTCAAATTTCGTTTTACCGGTCTTTACTATACTATGATCTGGAAGAGTTGTTATATTACCCGCATTCTAGTTGATGTGAGCGATTAGCCAATGAAACAGTCTGTTGCAGCAAGTTCTTGGTGTGCAATGTACGGAACTGTTAGTATCCTACTAGAAACATCAAAGCTGATTAGTTAATTAAATGTCTGACATCATAGGGTCAAAAGACGCTTGTATAGTGTAGGCCATCGAAAGTATAAAAAATGAAACGAAATATAGATCTGTATTTTAATCATATTGATTTAGTAATTACAAAGATAAAATTGAAAATTAATCAACATTTAGCATTGACTGTAAAAACAATTATTACCATTTATCTTCACTAAAATCATTTGTTGAGTCTCTTTTCAGTATTTCCAAGGTGTTTTCCCCTTATTAGTGTTGCAGGACGGAGGGCCTGACATGGATAGCTGTCTAGTCATTCTTATTGGACAAAAAAAACCCAACAATGTCCCATGTACACATAGGCATGCACGTAAATAATCCCTTGATATAAGAGTAGGCCATAGTGCCACTGCCCAGCCAAAATTTCCCACACTGTATGGCGTATGCCCGTCTTCATTACCCAGTCAGAGCAGAACAGTAGGATGTTAAACCCCATTACATTTCTCTATTCAATCCAGTTAAATCCAATTCGGCAGATTATTTACTGCTAATATTGTGATTTAATTTTCTTAATTAAATATTAAATAATCCATCTGAGTACATTATAGCATTGATTGTGTAGTAAAAAATGAGATAATTTCTGAAAAATACAAATGTTGATTAGCAGCTTTAAAAAAATAAACGGTCGATTTAATTGTTTTTAGCAGATTATTGAGAATTCTCTCCCTTGTATACCCAATGTATCAATTAAGAAAATGGTCTCCTATATACTAGTTGTAGATAGAGTGTGCATATCCTCCCAGCCCAATATTCTAATTAAGAATATGCTCCCCTATATACTAGTTGTAGATACAGTGTGCATATCCCCCCAGCCCAATATTCTAATTAAGAAGAATATGCCCCCCTATATGCTAGTTGTAGATACAGTGTGCATATCTTTTCTTTTGCATTATGCGTGAGACACTAGTCAAGTCATTGCTGAGAAGAATGTAAAATCATTTTAGTACTTATTGCTTTCCATGACATCTGAAATAGAATATAGGATTTATTAGTGGATTAATGTTACATATTGTTTTAAATTATTGTTTGTTAGTTTATGTATATTTTAGATCAATTTGAACAAATTCTGTATATTATAAATACAGAGATACAATGCATAAATAATTCTGTGATGTATGGTGAAACAAAATAAATAAATATTTATATTATATATATAATGTAGCCACGGCAAAACAAATTTAATCTTTAGTTCTGAGGAGTCTTGATAAACAGCTCTTTGGTTCTCTAATAAACAATGTTTTGTTTAAAATTTTCAAAATTTTAACATTTTGAGCGAAGAGCTTGTAAGCAATCAAGTTCATTTTGTTCTTGAATTACTATTTTCCTCGCAATAAAATAAGAATCAAAGACACAAAATTTGAATATGTGTTCCTGAAGGACTAAAGTTGACCCATCAGATTAAAACAAAGATCCTATTTCGTTTCGTTTTTTATAGTTCAATTTTTTTTTTACTTGTCTTCACAACACTAGAATCTGGAAGAGTTGTTATATAACCCGCATTCTGGTTAATGAGGGTTTAGCCAATGAAACGGTCTGTTACGGCATGTTTTTGCCAGACAATGCATGGAACTGTGGGCGAACCACTAGAAATGTCAACGCTGATTGATTTATCAGTGTCTGACGTCATAGGGTCAAAAGTCGTTCATGCGACCTCTGACATGACTTTTTCCTACAACCGGTCAGATCTTCATGTAGTGTAGGCCATCGAAAGTATAAAAAACGAAACGAAATATAGATCTGTATTTTAATCAGATTGTAAAGTGGAAATGGATGTTACCTAATCTGTGAAATGCTTGTCAAGAAAGAGAGAATATAAAACTATAAAACAAGTGTTTGAGGTGAGATCATGAATATTTTCTCGATGTGTTGTTAAATTATTTATGGTATACAGCATGATGATGCATTGAATAACCACCGTGCTAGGCCATGGTCCATTTTTAATCACTAATTCCATAATGATAGATTAGCAAATGGATTTGGAGGACAAATCCAACATGCTAGAACATATTCAGTTTATCATCAGGAAATTGATATTTAAGGAATTACCATTATGCAAGAACATATTCCATGTACAACCAGTAAGATTTCCTGCTTCATAGTAGCATATATGTGTGTTTGAATTGATACAGCCGAGATATTATAGTAGTTGGTTGTGATTATTTGTATATTATTTTCTTCACGGTATATTTTAACATTTATTTGCCATCTGTTCAAACGCAATTTTAGTTATTTTTATTTATTTATTACATGAAATGTTGTATATTGGATAAAAGGGTTACATTTACCACTTAGGTAGGGTTGGTATGAATAATTAATTATGATAAAATGTTTTCAGTTTGTGAAAAGTAACAAACCTATAGCAATTATCAGTCAGCTTTAATCTGGACACAAGTACAAATTAGATGATTTGGGGTGATTTTAAACCATTTTTTAGGCATGAATGTGAAAGAAATTAGTGCTTAATACACAAGATTAAATAATACCCGGATTACAGTGACGAGAATACTGGAAGTAGTATATACTATTTATTATACTCTCACATTTTAATGTGGTCGCATATTGTCATCAACTCTGACTGTCCATCCACTGTCCACACTCTATTGCTCATGTTAAAGATGCATTATGTAAGACCTAAATCCGCCTATTGCAGGTCTTTCTTAAGCCATGAAATGTTATCTAAATTATTAATTAGATATTTATTAACATGAACAGACCGTAATCAACTCTTGATACCATCTTATGTGTCAGATTGTCACTGGATTTGAATCCGATTTGCTGCTCAACGCTTATTGATGATTAAATCATAAAATGGATAATCAAGACTATGTTTCTAATCGTACCGACTTTAGTAATGATGATCGAGGCTAGGCCTAAAATTCAAATGCTAATATCTTGGTTCATATTCCCGTTACATTATCTATTTTTTAATAATTATAGTGAGAACTGTCAGCTCTTTATCTAATCTCCCATAATGTTTCTTTAACACACGATTGACCTCCAATTTATACCCTCAGTCGACAAGAGAAGCCTAATTCAATGATTTCAGATCATTACTTTGACCATTATTGCACTCGATTACTTCGAAAAGAAATCTTGTCAACGACTTGGCTGCTGTGGGCATATGCCCCGTTACCTTACGCATTATCACCTGCCAAAATAAAATAAAATAGAAAATGTTTTGTTTTGCTTCTCAAGGTTATAACAGGCCTTATTAGTATTCAGGGTTTA